TCACCTGAACATGCAAACAAACGGATAGTGCACGCCTACATAAAGAATGTCTCCGAATTAACAGGAAACTTTCTGCAATCACATGGAATCTATATGGCACACAAACCAAGTGCCACCCTAAGAAAATTGATCGCAAGTCCAAAGGAAAAGACAATCAAGCCGACCAATGCATTGTCATCTACCAGATAAGATACAGTGACGGCGATAAAACCTACGTCGAACAAACTGGAAAAAAAGATTTGTAAACCGACCACCGAGCACAATGCGGCCGTCAGAAGATATGATCCTTACCCATTGGTTTCTGCGCATGAAGATCAAGAAGCCTGGCATTTCGATCTTGAGAATGTGAAGATCCTGGCACATGGAAGTACAAGACAGGCGAGGGAGTTTTTGGAAGACTGGTACTCTGCAACGATTTCAGTCACGCGACACATCGAACTTGACGCAGTAGACGCAACACTACTGGCAAACGATCGCCAACCCCATCGATTGCATCCTATGGAAGGCTTGTCTAAACAACCAGAACTGACAACAGACTCGCTCACAAGACCAAGCAGCTAAAAGCGACGAAACACAAGGGGTCAAGGTCAAAGGTCATCTATACATTAACGAGGTTGAAAGCGGAGCGAAGTCCTAACCAATTGCATTGCTCGGCTCCACAGGCAACCACGTTGGAATAAAAACTTACGCACACCACCCTCAGCTCACTCTAACTGAGGCTCCTCTGCGCTACTCTACCCTACTGCACGCCACTCAACTACCCACTGATTATGTCACCTCGATTGGTGACGAAATGTCTACAACAAAGTTGCCAATCTCAGCGAACATTTCAACCGTCATCAGAATGAAACGTGAAAGCGCATTTTCTGAGTAACTACACAATTGTTTGCTGATTTAAAGTGACAGTGTTTACTATTTCTTCCAAAATCTCCCATAATCTACCGTCACACATTCGAAAGGTATATGTGACTTACATCAGGAAGGAAAGGTTTACACTATTCGCAGGCAGTATGCCGCAGAGCAAGCTACGTGCAGTGACATTTCACACATTGCTACCTGCCGACAGCTATTCTGATGGTTCGCCCTCCATGTGGACGCTAATTACTGATCCATGACGCATTGCTGAGGCAGGCTCATCGTCCCTGAGTAAATACGGCGCTGGCAGCTCAGCAACGATTGCAGCACCTTGAATCAATCCATCGATATCATCTCTATCTGTTTTGTCCATCACCAGGAGGTTTAAATGTAAACGTTGCTTTTCATGACGTAGTCAACTTCTTCTATTACAGTGATAAATCTTGTAATGAGTATATTTTATCGTTCCTATGAAAGAAAGTAATTTAGCTACTTGAAATATGGTAACTATGCACTTATAATAAAGAAACGGACGTTAAAATGGGATAGACATATCTGTACAAGGCCAAAGGTTTTACATTGTAATAGCATATGCTTAATGTATTGGAATATTTAAAAAATAAAAGCATTTTTTCAACCATGTTACCAATAACTTAATTATGCAAAGCCACATGCTCTTGGTACCCTTACAAATGGCTAGCTGGTTGCATCCCATATATGTAATAAATGTCACACATTTTTGAATGACCATTCGAGACGATATGCTCAAGGCATGCATGTCAAAATAAATATGAAAAAACTTCGGTACTCTTCAGTGGGTAACTACTTACGTTCCACTCATCGTTTCGAATTCCCTATTGTAGCCTTCATCGATACTCATAGAAAAAATCTTTTATTTTTAAGGTAAACTCGGACGGACTGAAATAATTTCAAAATAACGAGGACTAGTGTGTTAGCTACTATTGTACTCTAAGAAAATCCAACTAGTAGAGTAATTAAAAGGTTAACTCACAGCTTAGAAAGTGTCTTTAATCAAGGACGCCAACACAAGTTAGTTCATGTAACGAGGTCTTTGCTTTTGCAGTGTAGTGATCTTACCTTCCTTAGCTTGGAAGCAACATTTGATGAATATTTGCATTGATCGTCAGAGAGGTGTGTTTTCCATCAACTTAGGTGCTAAAGTGTCTGTATATGTGATGAGATTTTCAACAAGTTCGCCCACGGATTTGGCCGCGTCTGCTGTGGTAAATAATGGGTCTCACACACGGTCCTAATAAGCTTGCCAACTGTGCTCCAATCAATAAGGTGTAATCGGTGTTCTGGCTTTCGTATTGCTCTGGACTTCTCAAATGGCTTGATATTCATGTTTTAGAGCACCGTGTTGTGATCATATGCTATTAATGGGTCAGCATTTAATAAAACCGGATGGAGTACCCATGATGAAAATCAGATCTTAGACGTTATGTAACCTGCTAGGTTGATTAACGTGTTCAGCCCAACCATTGTTAGAGACACAATGGATTATTTTCGTAAGTTCTCCAATTGTTGTAGACCCATGTGACATCCAAGTTACATTTGTGCGCTTGAAATCCACATCGGAATTTTTACTCATATGAAGTGAGAGTGCGGGCATTAGTAGCCGACATTAACTGATAAGAAGCATGGAGGTTGGCACTAAGAAGTATGTAAATTCAGCCCCATAGAAGGTTGTAAAATGGAATAGGCAGTGATACAAAATTTTCTGAATCAGGGAAGCTTGTCTGATTAGCTGAGTTTATTGTTATGTCATGGCACACGTAGGTAGCGCAACCACAACCACGTTTGTGCAAATGATCCCTCCGAAAGCACTGAGAACCATGAACATATAGCTGACGCGCATCATGTCTCGCTGACAAAAACAATGTGAGACGTTTTAAGGAACATAAACATCGTACGGCGTCCATTTGGTGAGATAGTAGACGAATATTTGTAATGGCAGAGTTAAGAATGCAAAAGGAATAGGATGTATCAATTTGGTTACGTGGCACTCGCTGTCAGCATAGGCGTGGATGGTGTGCTGCAATGAGCTCGGCTGTGTTGTTTTAGAAGGTAATTGCGAATGAAATGCGAATCACTTTGTCAACCGTGCAGTCTGAGTGGCTGAAGTTCACAGCAGTTGGTGGTATCACCGTGAGTATTTAGTGATTTGCAATATAAACAAGGTAATCCCTGCAAACCGGTAATAGTCACTGCGATTTGCAACACGGAGTATTAGCATTAGTGAAAGTTTCTTCTGACATAAAGTCAGAAGACATGTATCTCAGTATATGTAAAGCAATAAAATGAATAAAAATGAGTGTAGGTAAAATCTAAATTGGCATTATTTACTCAAACGCTATGCGGTGGACAATGATAAACATGCAAATTAATCATGTGTTTGCGATGCGGTCGATAAATACGTAAGAGAATTTTCATTGGTCTCGTAGTTGATCTACCGGGCGGGTTTTCCTTTTGGAGTTTAGCATATAGAGCAACAACCCCCAAGGTAATAGGAAAGCTAATAATAATAATAGTACTAATACTACCAATACTAATACTAATAATAGGTACATTCTCTATGAGGAGGCACACTTATCGGCAACGCTCATCAGACTCTAGAATGCAGTGGAACTTCTTACTGATATTAAGAACAATGTTTTACCAAAGGTAATCACTTTTGCCTATTAGTAATAATCCCACTAAACGTCGTTACCCTCTAAGCATTAGAATTGATTAAGCCAGGGTAAATGCGTGTTCAAGCTAGAAAGTTTAAACCATGTTACAGCAAACACATTTTTTAAACTAGGTTGGTATTTTAGCACTTGGCAGCGAGAGGTGAGCAGAACTGGTGAAATGCAATCTGGTTTCTATTTGCGAGCTACTTAAGCGCAGAATGCTGAAACTTCAAACGCACGACATAAACATGGAACAAACAAGCTGTGATTTCTGCAAAATGCATTCGATTTGAAACAGTCAAACGTCTATAAATCAATTGGGCTGTAACATTGTATATACCTAAGCTATCGATGTGTGATGACGCACGTATGGTTAAGTTTAGGGTCGATGAATCACTAAAACTTCGTAGCTACACTACTACTTTTAAGTAACTAGTAATCGTTTTAACAGCAGTCATGCGATCATAATTAGTGCTGGCTATCAAAGCTCATCATTGCTCTGGGGCCAGCCCTGTCCTCTACACGTGCACATCATGCATGGCAGAGGAGGATGAGGCGCACTATAGCGCAAGTAGAAGTCAGTCATGGCGGTTCACCGTTGCTTTCCTGCCGCATCCGGCGGATGCGCGCTATTTGCTAATCCCACTAGGAAGAAGCGGTTGTGTAACGCTTCCCTGGATGTGTGTTGGATGTCTGGTTGCGTCTAGCTGCTATGATTCCTCTCAACTACATAAAACACCATGTACTTCGAACTGATGCTATCAGTATAAACGTTGATTTCTCATTATTTAGCGTTGTCATTCATCTTAAGGTTTTCTTCATTTCCCTCAGCAGTCATGTTACCGTTAGCTCTGTTGAAGTTATCCACCAAAATATTGTCAGTTGTTCTATGGCAACAGTTTCCTACGCTGAGCACACACATCCCTCTAAGTATGCTTATGTAAATCGACCTGATCCACCTTCAAAGGTGGCTCAAGGCTCATCTGCTAGTGTGGGACAACAACCCACAAGGTAGCTATGTAAATGTATTCCCCAAAACTGCTTCGCACACTCGGAATAGGAAGGTTTATGTAACGAGGTCAGGCTAGTCACAGAGATGTTAGCTGAAAGTTAAATCTTCTTACATACAGCCCAGCGGAAATATAACTGCTTCGGAGAATCATTGACTGTCTGTGCTCACATTCCATAATGAACCAACTTGTCTAGCAAAGTGAAAAGGAGCAAGCTAAGATTCATCCGAAACTTAGAAACGACCAGCATACTGTGGTAGGTGTCGTCGGAAATGGACGCTTCTACTCTCTATTACAGCCTAGTTTACGTCCTTGTCAAAATGCGGTTCGCTTGTGATACACTGCTGTTCAATCCACTATCTGCATTAGGATATGCTTGATTGTTTTAACTATTGCCGGACGGTCGCTATAAACTCACCCAATTACTTGCATATCTCCACAGACCGCTCGACTGTGCTTCTTCAATTACGTTTCATCGGTCAAGAGTCGTTGGCTTATGATCAGGAGGCAGAACGCCCAGTCATTGAATGTCACACCAATCATTTGGGCACGCTGGATATCGGCCCACCAATATGGCGACAATTGCATGGGAAGGCAGTCTACTCACTCAAGGATAGAACAAGTCTAACAATTGGCATATCAGTCCTACACGTGACTGATCGACGGCCCGGAGTGACTGCCCTCCAATGCTCTATGGAGTTACAAGGAGTTTGTGTGAGCAAGTTAGCCGTGTTTTGGACACGTCGTAAGTTCCGTTCAACGGTTAAAGCAGTCCTGTAGCCTCGAGTTGAACTTTACTTTATGTTAGAAGTTCAGCTAATGGTTATATGATGGTACGCGGTAATATAATAACCAACCATTTAGAATATGTTCAGTAACTACAGCGTTTCGTTGAAATCCAAACCATAAGATCCTTCAGCGTAAAATGACGAATTGTACGTAAACAAGATTAAAGAAGTTTATGGTAGTTTTTTCCAATATAGTGAAATTACATATATATATATATATATATATCTGATATTTTTAAACTGGATAAATTTCATTCCACTTTATTTGGTTTGTTCTGCCTACCTGAATAATCTTATGTTAAGTTGCACACGTTACTTTCGCTAATTGTGGTTATCTTCGTTAACTTCATTGCGTTTGTGGCATGTTTTAATTAACTTCTGAACATCCTGTATTTATTGCGGATTCGTTGATAACCAACCTACTTCATATGCTAATTTAGTGAAGAGTTATGTCGGCATATTCGCATGCTTTAACAGACATATTTTACTTGATAAATTCATTTCAAATGATTGACTGTTTTTTGAAATACTCGGTGTAGCTGCGCTTGTTATGAATGTTCACAAGGTGCCTCCCCGTATATTACCCACTACCTCGTTCATACTGGCACCAGGAGACAGTTTGTCGTCGCTGGAGGGGACGGGGTGCATGGTCCTTGTGGTCGTATTACGCTCGAAGAGTGGTTTCAAGCAGTCAGTGTGGAGCGGACTACGGTCCAACCACCGCCTTGCGTGCCATTGGTTCACCAAATACAGCGTGCTTGTGTTTGCCTGTGAAGGAGTGTGGGTCGGCTCCGTTGATGAAACGTGGCTTCTCTCCGCATGCCTCTTGATCTTATTCGTTCGGGTTTACACTGGATATGGGGTGTGTGGTTGGAGCTGTGGGTGGTGCAGTGCAAGCCATCCATGGTCCCTCTGTAGGCGCAGGCGTCCTCTGGCTGTCCCACGGAAGTCGCAAAGACTGGCAAAACTATAGTCAAACCTGCCTAAGGCGACCACTCTGGGGACCGACAAAAATTGCTCGCCATAGGCATGTTCGTGCATAGAGGACACTACTCACCATCTACTGCAAATGTGTACTGCGCCCGTACACAGACATTTATAATTAATCTTAGTCTTCGAAGTAAAGCAAAAGCAGTACTATTGCATACTGCGGGATATATGTGCAATAAAAATGTAAAAGTTTGCAGTTTATGAGTAGACATTATAAAAACCAACCTCACCTGTTGATTGTTTTTCCGAGCTTGATTAAGAAATCGCATACGTTTCACCACCATGCCATCGCATGGTGGTGAAACGTATGCGATTTCTTAATCAAGCTCGGAAAAACAATCAACAGGTGAGCAACCAAGCCGGGCTACCAGTGTTCCAAGTTATTTCAAAAACCAACCTGTTTAGAGGGTCGCCTGTACCGCGAGCCCAGAGAGCGATTCCAGAAGACAGATCAAGTTGCGGGGAAACTTGTATTGGTACAGTAAATGATTCCCTGTTATCTAGCTATAAAAGAACGACACCGTTGACGCTCTAGCTAGGGGTACGGTTCAAGCACAGCACACAGAGCAGTTGCGAGTTGCAACCGAAACGAGCGCCAAGCAAAAATGGCGATGAGCAGGTCAAACATTCGAACTCAGCAATCCGTTCAACAAACCACACCGGTTGCCTAGGTGTACAATGAAATAATTTTAGTTAGAATTTTACACAGGCAAACCGGGGAATCTCCAGACTGCTACACCTGCAATTCCCCGTAATCCACTAGGTTTAAAAATTCATACACACACTACTATCGTGCGTAAGATTTTCAATTAGATGGAAAAATCAAGTATAGTAGTTTGTTGCTTTGTACATGAACTAAAAGATAAAGTTACTTTTTCCCTCAGGTTCATGATAAGTTCAAGCATGTCAGTGCGTCCTCTAGTTATTGCGTAGGAGCGCAAAATACCAACAGTATCCTGCGCGTCTGTGAAGGTATGTGCTGTCAGAACGTCTGTAGCACCTTGTTCCTGCTCGTCGCCTGCTTTTCTATTGCCATCCTCAGCTGCCAAAATCGAAGTGCAGGAAGGTCCCAGTTTATTAACGTGGTGTGTCAGAAAGTTGATATCCAAACAATTCCTTTGCAAGTTTGTCCCATGCGGTAATTACAAGAGGTACAATTCACCATTCCTCATTCTTCCAGTTTGTATTGTTGTCTCAGGATCGATGTATGCAAGACAAGGAAACTTGTTTTAAAGGTACACTTGGAGCTTGTTGCGTTCCCCACCTCCTTCCATGTGGAAGCAATCCAGAACAGGACCTTTAATAAACTTACTTTTTTCATGAATTCAATTCTTGACATCGTGTGTGATTCCATGACGGTAATAATATGTAGAAGCTGTCTTTTCCTAAACTTTATTTTAAATGCTTAAGTGACACTTTGATCGAGGGTTTGCAACAACGCAGTGGTGTTAGGTCGTAGGAGTTGCAGTTCGACATTCTTTAGTAGAATTATGGAATGTCTAGTGGCATTGTCATGGAATCAAATTATGTTACGCTATTTTGTTGCATTCTTTTGTCAACGAATTTAAGCCAATCTAGAAACATTATTGCAGTCATCCACGCCTTGTTATTATCTTCGTAAACTGCCGGTACATTTTTACATTGATGTGTTTAAGAATTCGTGTGTTGGCTGATTTCCCAATCACTAACTCCGGTTATGGCTCTCTCAGCATGTTAGTACCCAGCATAACTGCGATTCGCTCCTTGCTTCTTTTTCCAACTGCACAGTCGTCTCGTCCGAAAATAGGTATTTTTTTCACGCAGCTTTGATTAACAACCCAGTTTCATCCAAATTATGCATGTTTTGAGCTGCGTAACACGAAAATATCCGGCCAATGTTGCTATCCAGTCTAATGCGACACACCACCTTCGCCAGATTGCATATCAACCACAAGGTTGCGCGTATTGATGAAAGCTTGCAGCCAACCGTTTGATGATTTAAAATTTATTAAATTCTTTCGCAAAGTGCGAAGCTAGTTATTAACTACTTGGTCCAGATAGTGGTAGTTTTGCAATTGCAGACTGGCACGATATCCAACAAAATGTGTTTCTACCTTCGATTCCGGTTGTTCAGTCGTTCTTATTTTACGTCTTGATGCGTCGTTTTCATGGTCGTTTAGAAACATGGTTTTCCTGTTTAAAGTCTGAATGGTTTGTGTCCTTCCTTCTCCAAAAATTTCTGCCGACGTTCGTGAACATTTTTCTACTTAACTTTGCCGAATCAGTTATTCTTTCTTCAGCTTTGCCACTTTGGAATTTGCCATTTTGTCCTTTGTTAGACTCTTCATTGAGAAGCTGTTCCGCTCGAAATGGACAAAGAATGCTTTATTTTTTGCTTATGTTCTGTACTTTATGCAGGACGAATACTCGCCTGGCTAGACAGAGGTGCAGTTTTCTTATACGATTCGGGATTTGCCAGTAAGGTGTACAGTTAGTCTGACGGAAACAGGCTGATGACCGCGTTCCAGAACGGGAAGCGCGGTTCATGGACATACCGTGGCAGAGTTATAGTTAATGCCGGTCATTTACGGTTGCTGTCCCCACCATCCAATAGCCATCCGATGTTTAGCAAATTTGGCAAAATGCTTACTACCTGTGGTGCGCGTGCGGAAACATGAATTCCTCTCTCATCTTAGTGCTGACGACATGTGGAATGCTCGGGAGACAAGTGGTTTAGTGTAAGGATCAGCTGAGTGCAAGTGTAAGCTGTTGAAGAACGGACCGACAGGCCACGTTAGCCCGTTCTGGTCATCAAGCAATACAAGTTGTTTCCGGCAGTCGTTAGCTGTCAGCTAACTTTGTGCTGAGTGCTGAAGGGCATGGCTAACCATAGGTGTTGGAGTGATAAATGGTTATCTGTGTGTCTCGCTGGCCAACGCGATACAGCTACCTACCCAGCGAAATCGGCATAGGCAAACTAAAGCGTCCAACCAAAACTGCGGCGGCATGTGCGCACGTAGTGCTACGGTAACGAATCGGGTGTTTTGAATTAGATGAAGGCGATATTAAGCAATGCAATTTGTGTCTATGTCACTGAAGCACTGTCTCAGGTAATGGAGCACGAACAGACACTGTGCGCGCACGGGTTATTCGGCTGTACGATGAATGCGGTTTAAACGTCGCATCAACTTAATGAAGATACAATGCAATGAACGCAGGAAGGCGTCCCATCACCGCCCGGTAAGTGCGTAAACTATTGAAGAAGTTCGAGCAAACTGGAAGTGCGTGTGACATAAAATACTGGCCCGCCTAGCACCACAACGGACGAATGTCTAGCTTGCGCTGTAGTCAGTGAAGTATCAAAAAGTCCCGAGCTTAGCGTTCGTCGGATTGCACAGCACTGTGATACGAGCCGATATTTGGTACACCGGATATTACTGGAACGAAAATTTCGGAGGTTCCGTACACTTCAAATGCAGGTTCTGAACCCATGTGATCTGGAGAAGCGGCATGAATTTTGCCGCTGGTTTCTGGATCACGGGCATATTCCTTCGCTCATCTTTCCAGATGAGGCACTGTTTCATCTGCATGTTACAATAAAAGAGTAATCTTGGGGTACAAGCAACGCACGAAAATATACCAGAGTACGTATGCACCATATTGGGAAACTGATGGTTTGAGATGGATTAACAAGCCAGAAAAGCTTGGGCCCATATTGCTTTTCCAGAAATGTGACCAGTGAGTTGTTGTGTTGAAGTACTAAAGCCTTATCTTTTTCTAGCATCGTTGTACTTGAAAATGCTGCAGAGATTTTTGCTTTCATAGCTGGAGGCCGAAAAGGATTGCAGTACTATTTGGTGGCAGCAGGACGATGCACCTGCACATTCTGCTTAAACGGTGCGTGCTTATGTCACCAACAAATTTGGCCACCATTGGATCGGACGCGGTGGACCAATGGAGTGGCCTGCTTGCTCAACAGACTTGAACC